AATGGAAGTTCAGAACATCATTGAACATCTAATATGTCAGTGTGGGGGTAAGTAGAAGACTTCACCTCGCGATACGCTGTCAGATAGACATCGGTCTCTGGAAATGTGTTCTCTCTGCAGGGTGGTAACATTTTTCGGGATCTGCTTCTCTGAAAACAGCACTTTATATTTCCAGATTAATGTCACACTACAGCGGCCATGGAGCCTGCTGTCTGAGTGTTCGCTCTGTCAACTGTGAAATAAAGTTTGTTGTAATGCTTAACAAATGATACTGAATTGATTATATGAGAGTGATAAGGAGAGGCCCGAGCTCAGGTCTATATTGGTTTTGGGCTCGCCTCAACTTGTCAGTGTTATTGCATTTGATGTTTATTTTTGTTTTGTTTGTATAGCACCAACCACCTATTTTATGGCGCTTTACCCAATTATTAATCAGCACTTGTAATTTATTACTAAATAGACACATTTTGTAAGAAGTAGATAGGAAAGGTGCCATTGTAGTTGGTTCCTCCATTAAAGTGATATTCAAGTCAAAATGGTTTTGGGCTATTTCTAGTTCTGATGAAATCACTTACAATGAATGCTGCCCCTTGATCTTGAAAAACCTTTTAGTCTCATGCAGCTGGTCCCCTGAGCACTGGTCCTGATATCCTGTTTTAGGGTGGCTCCTTTCTCTTGTAGGGTCCTATGGAGCCACTCTTGTGTGTGCTAGTAAGCTGTGTGTGCCTCTACAAACACACAGGCACAATAAGACACGCTGCTCCCCTCCTCCCTATTCCAAGCTAGTAGATGGACAGCTACTGAAGACTGCTCTGTCCCTTGTGATCCTGTACTGAACAGAAAGTTCAGTTAAGTGGAGCTGAGAGAGTTGGAGCTGTTCGAAAACATGATGGTTGTAATGCTCCTTTTAGATGGGCTGCCTGTCAGTGTATCAGGTGGATCTGATCGGATCTAAATAGGCGGGTGTCCGTTTACATCCACTTGCCCCCAGCTCCGGTGAATTTGGAAACAGCACTTTGGTACACCAGGTCTTCAGTGTGCAAGAGACTGCAATGAGCCCTCAGTGGGTATGATTTGGGAATTTGTTTTGTATT